CATGGTTTATTATATTCGGGGAGGACTGGAGCTCAGTCACTAGAGGCCGCTAGTCAACACTTGAGGAGCCTCACTGCATCTAATGGAAGAAAGTGGGCGTTGGAATCCAACACCCTATTGAACGTCCGTCTTGTGCAGCATTCGCATTAACCAGCACTAAAAAACACGAGATGTTTGGCTCGGAATCGCCAGCTCTTAAATTTCTTATTCAGCCCCCCACACCCCCTGCCAAACAAAAACGACTGCGTTGCTTCAGAGAGGGACAAAGGGCAGCTCTGTACGATCACCACAGATTTACTCGATAGCTTTGCGTTCCTCTGCTTTTCCACGGCCAAGTTTTAGTCAGTAGTTATGTACTTGACCAAAGCCACTGGCCTCGCAAATCAACGGCCGTAAATTGGTGAAACCCTTATCTCTCTCTTTCTTGCTCTCTTGTTGGGGGGGGAAAAACATATTAAAGTGCTTCCACAAGACAGGCAGACAGTGTGCTTGCTCCTTCCCCACCAACCCCCTTTCCTCTGGCCTCCGAACTGCACAGTAGGGGCTGCTTTTCATCATAAGGTTTGGTTTAAATCAGTCCACTTTGCGGTTCACAGGACAGAAAAGGACTTTGTTGGCTGCTTTATTCGCTTTAAAACATCCCATTGGTCAGGCGATACGTGCAAAGCATCGCCGTTTCCAGATGCAATCCGGCTTTCAGAGTCATTCCCATACCCAGCTGTGCGAAGGCCTTTGAGATGCACTCCCTCCTGCTCCCACCCCAGTTCCCCCTTCCCATCCCACCCCATTCCCACCCCACTCCCCACCTGCCCCACGTGGTGCTGCAGACATGTAAACTGTCTGATCAAGCGCTCCGAGACGCTGCCCCTATGTAAATGCAAGTTGTTGTTATAATAATCCTCGCCTTTGGTACAGCGCCTTATCACGTCATTGAGACGTCTCAAAGCGCTTCACAGGATACACTGTAAAGTGAATTGACTGTGTATTTTGTGGGCGAAACAGGAGGGAGGGGGTAGGGGAGGGAGGACACCGAAAACAAACATGCACACACAGTTCCTTAGATCAGGAACGCCTAAATAAAAGCGCTGTTTTAAGCAAAATCTATAATAGCGTCTTAAAAAAGTGCATCACACAAATATTTGAACAAAACAGGGTGGGCTGGGGAAAAGGGCAGGGGAGTGGGATGAAACATTCAGCTCTTTCAGAGAGAGAGAGAGAGAGAAGAGGAACAGGCACGATGGGGCCAGCGGTGTTTTTCTGTGCAGCAATTCTCTACCGTTTTAACTCTTTGACACTCGGGTAACCACAAAAAAGGTCACATCACCTCCAAGGTCAATGAATCACACCCGGGCCCGTTCTCAACGATTCCTGCATTTGCTACAGCGCCTTATCATGTTGGGAGGACGTCTCAAAACGTTTCACGGGATACACGGTAAAATGTAGTGACTGTGTTTTTCCTCTCGACATGAAAGGCGCAATATCCAAAGCAAGGATTATTATAATTTATAACACACACACCACACACACAGAAACAATGAATGAGTGTTAAATAACCCCAATTATTTAATTCAGGGAAGGGCTGGAACAGAATGTGAACAATTTACAGCGAGACTGAGATTTGGCCAGCTAGTGACATTTAGCAGAGAGATATCGCAGGCGGTGTGTGAATCTAGTGGCTTCTAAGTGACTCCTACTTAAGATTCAGCAAAGCTTTATCCCTTAGTTTATTACTTAGTTTAAACTGAGGTCCTGTTTGCCTGTTGAGAGATCCATTGAGATGAAAAGGAGAGTTGGGGGGGGGGGGGGGGGGTGAAAAGAGTCTCTCCCTCCCTCTCCATCACTGCTTCCCAGCCAACAAATAAACCCAGTCATTCCATCCCTTCTTGGCGACTTGTGTAACGTAACTGTGTGCAAAATAGGAGTCAGAGGACCAAACAACCCCCACCGCCCCCATCTTACAGGTTCTTACATCTTACAGGTGGAAGCACGTTGAGGTTACGGGCCGTGTGAAAGCCAAGGGAAAATGCAAGTTGTGGTTGTGTGAGAATGTAATTTCTAAATACAGCTAAAGCAGCAAGTACCGAGCCCCACTCTCCCTCCCTCCCTCCCTCCCTCTTCTAACCCCTCGCACCGCGACCCATGACAGCTTCCTTCCCTTTTAGCTTGTTTCCAGGTCAGGGGAAATCGACTGCAACAACAAGATGTGAAACATCCTCATTGCAACATTTCCTCCCCCCCCAGCCCGCCCCAATCGTCTACCAACGAGCAGCCATCAGTTACACTATTTTTTTTATTTGGTCGCTTCAATCCGTGACTCTTTGTGGGACAGTCGCTGTGAGTAATTAATTGGCTGCCACGTTTTGCCCACAAAATACACAGTCACCGCACGTTACAGTATATCCTGTGAAGCGCTTTGATGAGACGTCTCAATGACCCGATAAGTCACTATATCAAACGCAGGAATTATTATTGTTATTAATACATGTCTGCAATAATACTTTTTTGTATGTGTGTGTGTGGGGGGGGGGGGGGGGAGGAGAGAGGGGTTCTCGGTAACCCTCACCAGGATCCGCTGTTTTCTCTGTCTCCCAACGGATCGATTTCAAGACCCTCACCCTCACACACAATCACACACACACACACACTTCTTGACGAACCAAACAATGAAATTGTCTTGCCTGCAAACACACAGTCACTCCGCTTCGCAGTAATCTCCTGTGACGCGCTTTTAGAAGAGGCTGGCACAGGGCACAGTGGCACAGGGCACAGGCACGATGGGCTGAATGGCCTCCTTCCACCCTGTCAAATTCTGACATGAAATTTTGTGAATAAACAACAACAACTTGCATTTAGATCGCATCCTTCACACGGGGTAGCGGCCCACTTGACAGTGGCGGAGTCTGTCCCTGAGCCAGGGGGAGAAGAGGGGAAATCTGTTGATTAGATCGCTACAGGCAAAAAATGTGGGGTGGGGTGTAGAAAAAAAATCAGCACGCCTTGTTGCTGTTATGGTGCCTCTGCCTTTACCGGGGGTGTGGGGGTGGGGGGGGGGGGAACGTTTCATTGAGGAATTGAGGATTCACACCATGGGCCAACATCCTTCCAAATAAAGAAAAGCTTGGTGGTGAGAGCAAATATCCTGTGTACGTGCTCAGTTGGATGATGTGTGCAATGACCTTGCCGAGGTTATGTACCTACTATACTGGGAATCAAAAAGCCATCATTGCACAAGGCCACACACTCACTCACCCGTTCACTCACACCCACGTTCATACACTCGCACACCCACTCACTCACTAATTCACTCTCTCACATACTGACTCACACATTCACTCACACCCACATTCATACTTACACCCACTCACTCATTCACTCACTCACTCACCAACTCACTCACATACTAACTCACACATTCGCTCGCTCGCTCACTCACTCACTCACCAACTCACTCACATACTAACTCACACATTTGCTCGCTCACTCGCTCACTCATTCACTCACTCACCAACTCACTCACATACTAACTCACACATTCGCTCGCTCGCTCACTCACTCACTCACCAACTCACTCACATACTAACTCACACATTCACTCACTCACACACTCACTCATTCACTCACTCACCAACTCACTCACATACTAACTCACACATTCATTCACTCACACACTCACTCATTCACTCACTCACAAACTAACTCACACATTCACTCACTCACACACTCATTCACTCACACACTCACTTATTAACTCACTCACTCATTCATTCACCCATACACTCGCTCACTCACTCATTCACTCACTCACTCACCAACTCACTCACATACTAACTCACACATTCACTCACTCACACACTCACTCATTCACTCACTCACATACTAACTCACACATTCATTCACTCACACACTCACTCACAAACTAACTCACACATTCACTCACTCACACACTCATTCACTCACACACTCACTCATTAACTCACTCACTCACTCATTCACCCATACACTCGCTCACTCTCTCATTCACTCACTCAATCACTCACTCACATTCATACACTTACACTCACTCACCCACCCACCCACTCACTCTCTGATTCACTCACTCATCCACACACTCACTCAATCCAGACAGCGAGCGAGAGGGGAATTGCATTCAGGGGCTTAAAACACAATGACTTTGTCAACAGACTGTTCGAACAATTGAAACCCGGGAGGAAAGCTTCCCCTAGTGGATTAGTGAGCAAAAGCAGCAACCAGTGTGACACTAAACCAAAGGCTGGAGGAGTGCTTGGCATGTGCGTGTTAGGGGGAATGGAAAGGCCGGGTGGGGGGGAGGGAGGGCAGAAATTCCACCTGGGTCTGAACTGACTGTTTTCTGAGCAATTTCCGAGGAAGCAAATTTTGAAATGGCTCCATCATAACTTCGAAGTTGCAGGCTCTGAAACGGCAGAAAGTTTGCCCGTCCGTCCTTCAGACGAGATCTCAAACCGGGCTTCCATCTGCCGTCTCAGGCACAAGTCTNAAAAAAAATGGACTTCCCAGCAGTTACACATCAACCACAGAGCCTCAAACACACGACATTCACTTCCTTTTGCTCTAATTAGTCTCTTTATTACTCATTCATCCTGACTGACAATCCCTTCTTCTCTCCCCCCCCACCACCCGCACCCCTGTAAAACTGTTCCTTCATTTAAAGTCTGTTAGGGGTTGCCACTTGCAGTAATAATAATAATTCTTGCATTTGATATAGCGCCTTATCCTGTCGTCGAGACGTCTCAAAGTGCTTCACCCATACGCTACAAGGAATATGGAGTAAGGAAACTTGCCCAATGTTTCGACCTGCGTTGGCTGAGCACAGATTAGCTGCCACATGCAGTCACTACACTGTTTACGAAGACGTATGAAAGCTACTGGGTTGAAGCGGTGCGCAGATAATCCTAATAATAATAAACCTTGCACAGAATCTACTGTAAGTAGATTGACAGTATATGTTGTGGGCGGAACGTGCACACAGCGACGTCCCCACGAACAGCAGTGGATTAAGTGACCGATCCTTAAAAACATACATAAGGCAGAGCGGAGGGGTTTAACAGATGGACAGCTTGCTCTGAGAGCTGTTACGGTAAGTACGAAGCACGACTTAAGATTCGCAGCTTTGCAGTGTTTCTCGGTTACAAAGCGCTGCCGTGTCGGGCGCGTGAAGAGCGGCCGAGTTTGGAATTTCGCAAATTCAGACCTGCTCGTGTAACCGACAGCGTTCTTCCCGAACCGAGTTCGAAACCCTACAAAAAAAAGGGCAGGAAGCCAGCGGCGCTGCTCAGGAAACTCCCTGTTCCGTCTGCTCCCAGCACTGAAGGGAGTCTTTCAGGCAGCAAACAAACATCCTGCGTGACGTGTGGGCTGGTTGCTTCCTTTCNAAAAAAAAGCAAGCGGGGTAATTTAAGCAACCACCTTACCCCTCCCCCCACTCCCTTTACCCAGCTCCGTTCCAGAGCTTTGGGACGTCCTCCCGACGCGAAAGGCGCTATACAAACGTGCAGGAGTCCTGTAGCTCAGGGGTTAGAGCGCGCGACGCGCAAGCGAGAGGCCTGGGTCCGATTTCCGGCCACGGAGAAATCTTTGGCAAGTTTCCTTAGGTCACATATAATCCCTCAAGAAAAAAAATAATAATAATTTGGTCACTTCAATCCACGGCTGTTTGTGGGACGCTGCTGTGCACAATTGGCTGCTGTGTTTCGCCCACAAATATAGTCAATTAACTTTACAATATATCCTGTGAAGCGCTTTGAGACGTCTCGACGACGCGATAAGGCGCTGTATCAAATGCGAGGCTTATTATTATTATCATGTTTGTTTGTTGTTGTTAATTGCTCTCAGGGTAAAGATGTACTTCCTGGTGTCTGTCCCGATACTCCTCTGTGCAACCCCCTGAACCATTCCTCTCCTGTCTCACTGCTTCTGACAGCATTGAATGTGGCCTCAGTTGTTCAATTATCCCTTTTAAAATCCCGTTCACTTCCACTGGCGAGGGCAGTCAGATCCAGTGACAAGGGGTGGGGGGGTGGGGGGAGCATAGTTACAACAGGATCACAAGAGCGAAAGGAAAGCGGAGGAGAATTTTTGCCCCCCACACTCAAAGAGAAATGCTGGGGCGTGGAACGACTTGCCACGTAAGGTGGATGAGGCAGATTCCATTGCGGGCTCCAGCAGGGACACAGATGAGCATGTGAGTCAGAGGCCTGACTGGGTGCGGGGGATAAGGCAGTGGGTGGGAATCAATGGACCGCTTGGCTCTGAGAGCCAGTTGCAGACTCGATGGGCCGAATGGCCTCCTTCTGTGCTGTAAATCTCTACAATACTGTGATCCCTCCCTGCACGCTGAATAAACACTGCGCGCGTGTCTGTGTGTGCGTGTGTGTTCGAGCCAAGACCACAGAATCAGATTAGGATTAAGTAAACTGCTGGAAGAAACGCAACCTTCATTGAAAAGGCATGAGCAGTGAGACCTGCTTTCACTGTGGTTTTGGAAACTAAACTGATCTCCTGGCTCTCTCTGGGCTTCTTTGACACTCTCTCTCTCCCCCACTGCTATCTCGCTCTCTCTGGTTGAGGTGAACACCGACCGTTGTTTGTGTGTTTGAAGCTCGCGAGGCCCTGGAAGAGGAAGTGCCTCAGACTTCCTCAACGCTCAAGGGTGGAGGCTGCCATCAAGCAAGAAAGTGAGCGAGTGAGACCATAGCAGAAGTTGAAGGTGAGTCCAGATCTTCCCATCAATTGCCTCTGTAACTGTTCCAAAGAGGAGCCTTTTACACTGCACATGAACAGCTTGAGTCACCGAGGTCCTGTATTTACGCGCACACCTACACACACGGCTACTGCACAGAGTGTGGGCAGGACTTCTTGTCAATTCAGTGCTCACTGCGAGTGTGTTAGTGGACACAGAAGCCATCAGAAGCCACGTCGCTGTAAATCGAAGGCTTTGCTCTTCGACCGTGCCCGTGGGGGTCTCCCCCCTTCTCTCTCTCTCTCCCCGGCTCTAACCGCGCCATGGTTCAGCACTCCGAGAACCCTTCCCCGCGCACAGGGAGCAGCGCTATAAATAAACACAGGTTGTGGTTATTGTTGTAGCCGTATACTACCGGAGGGGGTGGAGGTGAGGGGGGGAGGGGGGGGGGGGGGGGGAGGAAGGAGTGGGGGAGGGAGATCTCTGAGCTGAGCTCCTGCTACATCACAACCACACGTGATCCGCCACCGCACTGGAACTTCTCGGTACTGGGTGAGCTGGGGAGGGCAGGGCTTGGTCAAGGTCTCGTCCCTCACATGGCCACCGGAACTCTGACCTTGCGTCTAGCGTTGGTCGGAGGGTGGTGGGTGGGTGGGGGGGAGAGGAGGGGTGAGGGGAAGAAGGGGGGAGGAGACAAAAAAAACAATTAAAAAAAAACAAGTTGACTTCTCGCAATGTTCAGAGCGAGAGAGGCCGGAGACTGTTTTGTACAACAGCCAATCTTTCCTGCCTCTGGCAAAGTGAAAGGCAACAACTACTTGCATTTACACAGCCGCCCCCACACCCCACCAGCCCACCCTCACGCAGGGCAGAGTACCAGAGCGCTCGATAGTGGCGGAACCTGACACCGAGGTGGGGAGGTGGGGGGAGAGGTGACCGCAGACCCGGTCGAAGTGGAAGGTCCTCAGGCGCGACTTGAAGGGATTGAGGGAGAGTTCCAGAGCTTTAGGGCGCAGTGGCTGAAAGCGCGGCAGTCGATGGTGGATCGGAGGACACAAGCGGGAGGCTGGAGCCTTTCGGGGATGGTGAGGGGGGAGGGGAAGGGGTCCTAGCTCTGTCTGGTTGGAGGTGCCGTCTACCTGTTGGGGGGGGGGGGGGGGGGGTCGCTGCCACTACAGTGCAGTCTGCGTTGTCGGAGGTCCCGTCCTTTGGATGAGCCGTTAAACCGAAGTCAAGTCGTGAGAAGGGAGAACTTTCTCCTCTCGAATTGTTGCCGTGCGTTTATCTGCCGCCTGAGCGCACGCTCCCTGCGGTTTACGGTAAAACCCTGTGAAGCGCTTTGAGACGCCTCGAAGGCTCGGTGTCGAACGGGAGGACAATTCAGCATTGAACGTGGGAACACAGGGACATTGCTGCCACCTCGTGGGCGACCCGTTCATGTACAGTCCACCAACAAGCGACCAGGTCTGTCCGGTCAAAAGCAAATTAGCTTCAAAAACGTCCCATAAAGCCGCCCCCTCGCCCCTCCCCACACCCCCTCTCCCCTTACCCCCGCCCACCTCCCCTCAGCCCCTCTCCCCTCCACACACCAACAACAACAACAACAAACCTGCAAGAAATAAACACATTTGGTCACTCAAATCCACGAGCGATTGTGACCAAATCTATTCACTTGCTGCGCGCAATTGGCTGCCCGCGTTTCGCCCACAGAACACGCAGTCAATTCACTTTACGGTGGTAACAGCCTGCGAAGCGCTTTGTGAGACGTCTCAGCCGGAGTGATAAGGCGCTGTGTCAAATGCTAGGAATATTATTATTATTATTGTTATCGTGGAGTCCTGTAGCTCAGCAGTTAGAGCACTCGCCTTGCAAGCGAGACACCCGGGTTCGATTCCAGGCAGAGGGCGAAACCTTGGGCAAGTTTCCTTACTCCACACAGAGCCTAATAATAATCCCTCCAAAACAAAACAATAATAAATTGGTCATTTTCAATCCACGACTGTTTGTGGGACATTGCTGTGCGCAATTGGCTGCCGCGTTTGCCCACAGATATGCGATCAATTCACTTTACAGTCTATTCTGTGAAGCGCTTTGAGACATCCTCCCGACGTGAAAAGCGCTATATCAAATGGAAGGATTATTATTATTATTGTTACTTATATCGCACCCTTCACACGTGGTAGTGTCTTGGGAGCACTTGATACACATATAGACACGCACGCACGCATGCAATACGAGACGGCAAATGCTTTATTATTTATCTGATTAATTATAACCATTATCAGTTATCATTATTGTGAATTATTATTATTATTTTCTGGATCGAAACATCCGTCCCTTTATCTTTCCGCAGGACGAACACTGAACGCCGGGCTTCGTTAGCGCTCAGAGAGGAAGATAAAGAGAGACAAGAGAGAGAGAGAGAGAAAAGACAAGTGCTCGGTCCCAAGTACCTGTGTGTGTGTGTGTGTGTGTGTCTGCGTGAGGGTGTGTGCAAGAGGGTGTGTGTGTCTGTGTGAGGGTGTGTATCTGTGTGAGGGTGTGTGTCTGTGTGAGGGTGTGTGTCTGTGTGAGGGTGAGTGTCTGTGTGAGGGTGTGTGTGTCTGTCTGAGGGTGTGTGTGTGAGGGTGTGTGTGTGAGGGTGTGTGTGTGTGAGGATCTGTGTGTGTGTGTCTGTGTGAGGGTGTGTGTGAGGGTGTGTGTGTGTCTGTGTGAGTGTCTGTTTGAGGGTGCGTGTGTCTGTGTGAGGGTGTGTGTGAGGGGCTGCGAGACACCATCGTCGGTCGGCAAATGGTGTCAGTTTGACCGGAGCGGGGGCGGGGGAAGGAAGAGCGCGAAGCCACGGTCCGGACCATGTCGGGGGCCGAGGGCCCGAACGCCACCGGCAACAACAACGACACGTCCCGGTTCGTGGAGGTGATCGCGGCCCAGGACCAGATCTCCCGGGCCGTGCAGGTCTTTGCCCTGGTCCAGCTGGCGGGGCTGGTGGCCGGCTGCTTCGTCCTGGCCGTGTCCGCCCGCCAGTGGCTGCGGTGTGGGAGGCTGGAGCCCGCCCAGACCTTCCTGTCCTGGCAGGCGGCGGCCCACCTGGCCCTGGCGCTGCTGTCCCTGTCCGGCCTGCCCCGGCCCCAGCCCCTGAACACGGGCCCCGCCGGCTGTGCCGCCCTCTCCTTCTTCGTCAACGTCTTCTACCTCCACACGCAGTTCTCCCCGGCGCTGGCGGCCGGTCTGAGTCGCGCCGCGCGGCCACTGGGCGGGTCCGCGTCGGCGGCCGCGGGGCTGACCCTGGCCGTCATGGTCTCGGCCCTGCTAGCCGGGCTGCTCGCCCTCCCGCCCCGCCACCCCTTCCCCGGCGCCCGCTACAACTGCCACCCGGACCCGCTGGAGGCCGGTCTGGGCTACGTGCTCACGAAGTTCTGCCTGGGCTTCGCGGCCCCGGTGCTGACACTGGCCGGCCTGACGTGCTGGCAGGCGGGTCGCGGGGGCCGGCGGGGCCTGGAGGAGCGGCCGGGCTCGGACTCGGGGTCAGGCCCAGGCCCGGGTACGGCGCTGGTCGTCACCGTCACGCTGACCTTCCTGTGCCGCCTGGTGTACAACGCCTTCCTGCTGTGCCGTCCGCTGTACCGGGCCAGGGACCCGCACTTCGAGCACCGGGCGGAGCTGCTGGTCACCGTGGCCGAGATGGTGATGTTCGGGGGCAGCTGCCTGGCGCTGGTCCTCACCGCCGCCCTGTGCAGCCTGCACCGGGGCCGCGCCCTGGCCATCCTCCGCCGCGCCGGCAAGCTGTGCCGGACGACCAGCACCGAGACCGTGTGACAGCCACCAGTGGGGAGGGCCTCTCTCTCTCTCTCTCTCTGTGGGTCCACACGGCGACGCTCTTCCCTTCCGAGGGTCGCGTAGACGTCCGTTGGGGTCGGGGTGGAGCGGAGGGTGGGGTGTCAGCGGGGGATCAGGTGGGGGGGTCGGGGGTTAATCAAACGAGGGCTATAATTGGGGGCAATTACTGGGGTTGGTTTGGGAGTTGAGGTACAGATCAGCCCGTGACCTTGTAGAGCAGGGAGGAACAGGCTTGAGGGGCTGAATGGCCTCTTCCTTTTCCTATGTCTCTACCCCCCCCCCCCCAACCCCACCTCCACCACCACTGGCAGGACAGGGTACACCCTGGCCCTCTCCTCCCCTCCCCTCCGCCGGTAACCGCTGCATTGCCAAATAAATGCCATTCGCGACCGACAACACCTTTTTTTTACAGTCTCTCAACTGTCGGTCGGGCGGACAATAATAGTATTATAATAACAATCCTCGCATTTGATATAGCGCTTTCCACGTCTTCTCGACGTCTCGAAGCGCTTCACAGAATAGGCTGTAAAGTGAATTGACTGTATATTTGCGGCAGCCAATTGCGCACAGCAATGTCCCCACAAACAGTGGTGGGTTGAAAATGACCAATTTGTTAGTGTTTTGGGTTTTGGAGGGATTATTATCAGGCGTGTGGAGTAAGGAAACTTGCCCGAGGTTTTGCCCTGACCTGGAAGTTTCCTTCTGCAAAATAAAATGCACGAAATGCGATTTTGTCTCAGCCTCCGTGTCTCCGAGCCCGCGATCGCCGCCGTCAATAATCCTCGCGGTTGCGTTCGGGCGCCCCCTTATCGCGGCTCGAAGCGCGTCACGGGATATGCCACAAAGCGGAGCACACAGCGGCGTCCGCACACGCACACACGTTGTGGATTGAAGTGACCGCATTTTAACACTCGGCAGCTTTAAAAGTGTGCGTCGTGGGTGAAAGCTTACCCACTGTTAGTGTGTGTGTGTGTGTGTGTGTTTGTGGGGGGGCGCAGGGAAGGGAGGGGGAGAGAGAAACATAGTTTGTTGGGTAGAAGGAACAGCCCCGGTCGGTACAGGCAGAATCCAAACCCTTATCGGCCCCAAATAACCCCGTAAACATTTAGGGGGCAGCGGAGGAGGGAAGGGGGCAGCGTGTTAAAAAAAAGCTCTGCTCCCCTTTTTGTTCTCTCCCGCCCCCCCCATCCCCGCAGTTACCAAGGAAACCACACGACAAGATGAACTCACTAACCACAGTCGCGAAGGAGCAGCTCTCACAAGATCGGTCTGGATGGGGGGGGGGGGGGGGATGTAGGAAGAAAACCCTTCGGCTCATCTGATCTCATCCCTCCAGAACCACATCCCCCCCCACCCCCACCATCGAGCTATTAGCACAAGATGCCTCCCCACCCCTAACCCCTCTACCCCGAGCGGTTCCTGGTTGCTGCTAACTCGCTGGTTCACACATGCACAGCAGGTGGCGTTTCCATTTGCTTGAGAAATTCCCTCGCCGACATCTAGGGCTTTGCACAATGCTCAGGGCTCCTGATAGAACGCGCTCGCTCACACACACACAGTTATATATATATATACACACACACACACACACACGTCCGTTCACTCACAAGGTCTTCACATGCCGGCCGGTGCTTTGAAAGGAGGGGAAAAATACAGACGGAGACAAGAACAGCCTGACAGCCAGCAAAGGGCAAGCCACCTACTCCGCCGCGAACCCGCCAGGTACTGAACCTCAACTAAGCCTTTTATTTCATTGTGATCAGAATGCAGGTGCTGCCTCTCACGCTCTCTCTCTCTCTCTTTCTCTCGCCTATTCATGTTGAGGTGGGGGGGGGGGGGGGCGGAGGTTGCGTCTTGAAGCCTTTTCACAGGATTTACTGTAAAGTGAGGGAGAATCTTATCTCATTTCTGCAGCCAGTCTCACTCAGCACTGGTGTCCTGTCCTTAACACAATGGACAATGTACTGCATTGTTGCAGTGAGATCTCTGGAAGTGTGTGTGTATGTGTGTGTGTGTGTATGTGTGTGTGTGTGTGTGGGGGGGGGGGGGGTTACCTTGCTGCAGATTGCGCTTTCATTGAACATCAATCCAGATTACGAGCTAATAACACGATCATTCTTGGCCTCCTGTCTCTCTTCCTCCCCTTTGTGATACACCCCTATTTAATTTAATACATTTGAAGTGAATGATTGGGCAGCTCTCGCACTCCCCCCACCCCCGTGCTGCCGATTACCTTCCTCATAAACTCAGGTGGGCGCAGGTAAGAGCAGACACAGTGGTGAAAGACAGCGCTGATTTATTCATCCTCTGGGTTAACAAATGAAAATCAATGCTAATCGATAGTCTCGCTATTACTGCTTAATGATACGTGAAGTTTCAAAATGCAAAGGGCTTTAATACATTATATATAATATATATTAATAGTCCAGGCTGGAACTCCAGCAAAATACTGGGGTAAACCCTGCATTGTTGCAGGTGCTTTCCTTCAGAAGAGACATTAGAAACCGAGCTGTACGTTAAAGCTCTCTCTCCCCTGGACGACAATCGCCTGCTTGACCTCAAGACGATATTGAAACAGAAATTGGTCGTTCACTTCGCCGTTGTTTGCGGGGACGTTGGTGTGCGGTCACAACACTTTGGCAGTATATCCCGTTCGAGCGCTCTGAGGCGCTGCCCTGGGCGAAGGGCGCTAGATGCAAGGGCAAGTTGTTGTTGTTGTTGCCGAAATGTTTTGAGATGCTATCCCGATCCGAAAAGACGAGAGAATGAGGGGGGACGGGGGAGAAAAAGAGAGAGAGAGAGAGAGAGAGAGAGAGAGAGCAGCAGCTGCAATTTAAACCACCAGAGCTTTCTTCGACTCAAATACCCAAACAGCTGGCGATAGCACGAGACACCTCCATGTGCCACGCTACCTGCTGCGTCTAAAATCCACGACTGCTGTGCGCAATTGGCTGCCGCGTTTCGCCCACAAGGTGCACAGTCAATTCACTTGATGGTATATTCTGTGAAGCGCTTTGAGACGTCTCAACGACGTGAGAAGGAGCTATAACAGATGCAAGGATTATTCGCTCAGCCCTGTGCAAACCTAGGTTCCAATCCCCTGCCTATTGCATCGCCATCAACAAATCTGCTGGCTAAACGCATCCTTTTCCTTCCTCCTTCTTGCCCTGTTGCTCCCCCACCCACTCCCGGCCATAACGGCAGCGAGTAAAATATTAGAACAAATATTAACAATAAGGTCTCCAGGCTGCCGTGGACAGCACTGATATGCCTCCGAGATTTAAAGTAAACACGGGAAAACGTTATCTCCAGCATGCGACGTGTTCCGCCTGAACACAGAGCAAAAACCAGTCAAGAGGGGAGAGAGAGGGGCCGTGAACGCAGCAGAGAAAGCCAACCACCGCCTCCACACCCCACCACACCTTATGCTCATCTGGCATCACAAAATAAACGATAATAACAATAATCCTTACATTTGATTTCGCGCCTCATCACTGCGTTGAGACGTCTCAAAGCGCTTCACAGAATATATTGCAAAGCGGATTGACTGTATATTTTGTGGGCGAAACGCGGCAGCCGAT